TGCCAGATTGAAACAGAGATACCAGAGCTGTGTCTTATCATGATCCCAGTGCATAGTATTGAAGGATAATTATCAGAATGTCATCCAAAAGAATTCCAAGGTGAGCTTTTAGGGTCTCCATATTTATGAAATTTTGGGGTACCAGGAGCAGACATATGGAGCCAACAATTGGAGGACTGATCGAAGGTCAGAGAAGGAAAACACAGACAAGTGAGATGTAACAAGCCTAGAATGGAAAGGGGCCTCTGAACTAGTTTGAGACACTGAGCAGAGTTCACACTGTGTGTTTATGAAGTATGGGATTCATTAAAAAGGAGCCAGCATGGAGTGGACTCCTTGAAAGATTTATAATGTAGAATAAACTAATCTTGACAGTTGATTTGGAGTCCACACATATATAAAGAATCAAAAGGATAAATGCTATAATAGGACACAAGGAGCTTTTTAGAGGGAGAGTTTATTGGGAATTGAATGCATTGTTCATTGCTATCTTTTGATTAGACATATTAGCACTCTTCTTTAATTTATCTTTCAAGGAAACTTAGTTATTTGGCCTGTATCTTAAAGTATCTAATGGGTTTCAAGTTGCTGTGTATGTTACATGACTTTGAAAACACTTTTTGGGAAAAGTATCTATAAGCCACTAATGTCAGTCCCTTTAAATGCAGTGAAACACTCTTTCGACCTGGAAGAATATAGCCTCTCTCAGGCTACCTTGGAGCAGGTGGGTTTTCTTTGAACAAGTGAGCATCATCCAGGTGACCTTTGAGTGAATTAATCTTTCAGAAATACCCCGACATTTTTGTTTACTTATTTTGTTTTCTCTCGCTTAGATATTCTTAGAACTCTCTAAAGAGCAGGAGCTAGAAAATTTTGATGATGAAGTTGATACAACAGTTAGATGGAAACTCCTCTCACATGAAGAACCATAAAACCAAGAACCTCCTAACATTTGATTTTAGGTCCTACTTCAATGTTAATCTCCATAATTCTAGAAGCATCTTCCATATTACTTCAGTTAACAAAACAAAACATTCAATGGTTTAAATATTCGATAGCGATTAAAATTTTAAACTTTTCTTTAAATTTTAGAATGAAGGGCATAAGGAAAGATAGAGAAAAGTAGTAGACAAAATTAACAAAATGGGGCCTTATATTCACCCCCAACATAGGCCTATTTTATACTTAATAATAATTCAAAAATCATATAATGTTAAGCTAGTTTTTAATTATTACAATAAGGCTAAATGCTATGCATATTTTACAAATAAAATATTATGGGTTTTTTTTAGCTTAACCTTTCAAAATAGCCTCAGCTCTTTTAAACATTATTTACTTAAATTTAATTTAATGTGACATTGAGTATAAAAAGATCTAATAAGTTGGTGGATGAAATTGCATAGCATGATATTTATATATAGTGAAATATTCTTATCACAAAACAAATATATGCAAATTTTAGAATATATAGAAATTATATGGAAGAAGATAATCATAATCTGTAATAAAACACTGCAGTTAATATTTTGGCTAAACTATATTCAATGTATTTTTATAAGTACTTTTTCAAAGTTGATATCCGTTAGCACAGTAATTTTCTGTATTTTTTCACCTCACAGTTCATGAGTATTTCCCATGTCATTATAACACTTCTGTTATGTAATGGCTCCATTGATTTAATGACCGTATTGATATACTATCATGGTTTTTACATTTGGGTTATATGCACATTTATCTCTTTTAAATAAAGCTTTGATAAGCTTCTCTTATGTCTTCTTTGTTATAATCTTCAGGGTAGGTAGTTCAGATATCAACTGATAATGCTCCATGCACTACAGGATCTAGATAACTTTATTCTCTGACCTGTAGAAAAATTCATTGCGCATCCTAAGATTCTGAATCCCCACCACCACAGTTCCTGTACTTCCATCTTGACATTGACTCAAAGGTAGGATTGGCTTCTTGCCTTGATTTCTACAAAGAACTATTTCCACAGGTAGTATGTAAAAAAGGAAAGTCTTCCCACCTGTAGGAAGACTGAAAATGTGTATAAAAATTTGATATGTATTTCATATGAATTGAAGCCAAATATCATTTCATGTACATTCTGTGTTTTCTCATGAAGAAACTATGTCCTTGTAAATACAAAGAACTAAGACATTGTCCTTAATGGTCCTTGAAATATTGGACAAAGCTATATAATTAGAACATCAATGAACAGAAATAGAAATAAAAATAAATTAATTAATGCAAGTGGAGGTAGAAGTGGGGTAAGAGAATGTCAGAGGGAGGGCTCTGTGAGGGAGGAAGACAATTTATAGATAACCCCTAATTATGGCTAAAACAAAATTATACTTCATTATCCAAAATTTGGATTATTTAATTTCTGATTAACTTAAGAACCTTTATGTGTTTGCCTCACCATCCTGGATCAGAAATTAGGTGCCAAATGAATAGTGAGATTGCTGAGCCTTTCTCATATCCCTAGTCAGGGACCGAGGAACTAAGTCCTGGGGCTGGTCCACCTCGGTAGAGGAGGCAAAGTAACAGGAACTGCTCAATTGAAAGTGGGTGAGGGCCCCCAGCCTGGTATCCTTAGATAAGCCTTGTTTCCTCTCTTCCCACCCACAGAGGGCCCACAAGCATTGATAATTAATCACTGTCTAATTACCTCCTGCTGCCTGGATAAGTATGTCCTTGGTCCCTGATGCACTTTAATTATGTTTTATCAGCCCTTAGGTAATCAAGAATTGCCCATTTGCTAACTACATGGCATCTGTTAGTTTTTTGGCTGCAAGAGATAGACATTCAATCAGGCTAGCTCAAGTATGGAGCTTTTAGAATAAGGATGCACATGGTAAGGAAAGAAACAAGAATCCAAGAACAGAGATGGCTTTAGGATTTACTCAGCCATTATCTACTCTAGAATGATGATCTACAGTCATGAAATTCTAGAAATTTGAGGAGCAGAAAGTCTTCGATTGCCACCTTGGTGCCCTTCTTTGGCTCTTGTCTTGTCTTTGTGCACTTTCGTACTCTGTGGATGTTCCTACCATGGCTGACTTCTCCACCCTCTGTTCTTTTTTTTATTATTTCAGCATATTATGGGGGTACAGATGTTTAGGTTACATATGTTGCCCTTGCCCCTCCTTCCCACCCAAGTCTGAGCTTCAAGCGTGTCCATCCCCCGGATGGTGTGCATCGCACTCTTTGTGTATGCGTATACCCGTCCCCTCCTCCCCCTTCTCCCCCTGCCCAACATCCAATAAATGTTATTCTTATATGTGCACTTATGTGTTGATCAGTTAATACCAATTTGATAGTGAGTATATGTGGTGCTTGTTTTTCCATTCTCGGGATACTTCACTTAGTAGAATGTGTTCCAGCTCTATCCAGGAGAATACAAGAGGTGCTATATCACCATTGCTTCTTAAAGCTAAATAGTACTCCATGGTATACATATACCACAGTTTATTAATCCATTCATGTATTGATGGACACTTGGGTTGTTTTCACATCTTTGCAATTGTGAATTGTGCTGCTATAAACATTCGGGTGCAGGTGTCTTTTTCATAGAGCGACTTTTGTTCTTTTGGGTAGATGCCCAGTAATGGGATTGCTGGATCGAATGGTAGTTTTACTTGTATCTGTTTAAGGTATCTCCATATTGCTTTCCACAGAGGTTGCACTAGTTTGCAGTCCCACCAGCAGTGTATGAGTGTTACTATCTCTCAACATCCACCCAGCATTTATCGTTTTGGGACTTTAAAACACCCTTTAAGACAATCGCCCTTCCACTGGCCATGTGCTTACTCATAGATTTTGCTCACATACAACCTAGACTTCTTCATAGCTACACTGACTTTGTGGCCTGTCTCTGTGCATTCTTTCAGCTTCAGCCCCTGCTGCTAACTGCTAGATTCTCTCTGTACATTCTAGTTGAAATTCCTTAACAGAAATCACCTCGGTTCATCCCCTTTTCCTCAGAGCTTTGCTTCTTAGGGCACCTAATGGCCAATATGCCAGGCAATGAAATGAGGGGTCTTGAGTTGACAGTCTGTCCATCCAGGCTCAATCAACTATAGATTAGATGATGAAAAACATGATCATCCCTATCCAAGGAACAGGCTGTGAATTTTGCTTCCAGGAGGGGAAATCGGGAAAATATTTGTTCCCAGAAGGGACTGCTGTGATGACAGGCATTATGGATGGCATATCTTGCATGTCTCTCTCCATGACACTCATGTCTCCATGATGCATCCTTCTTCCTAAATGTATCATTCCAATAATATTTCTGCCCAATATGGTCCAACTACCACAAATACAACACCCAGATTCACTTAATTATCCCACCATAGGGATGGAGGAAACACTCCAATTTTTAGCTGCTGCATCAGGAAGTACTGGCCTGCTCAGCAAGTGTAATATTCTGCAATAATAGAACACAAATTAAACTGTGACCCCCACTCTCAATGCAGCAATGGCAATAATAGTGAAAAATAACAATCCTTCTTTAAGGAAAGTGAAAAGAAATTTCTACCCCTTGATTTCAAGAATAGTACAAATATTCTGGCTGAAGTGAGATGGCATCATGTATTATTTGCTGTCTGGTCCAGAAAGTATATTGCCTGTCATGTACATATGAATATACATGTGTAAAACTTTAGTCTTATCTGTTTTAATTTTTTATGAAAGGAAACTACATGTATTAATTGCATAATTAAAACCTATAAAGGAATATATTTATCATTTGGGGATATGTGGCTTTTTTTTTTTTATATTCCTGGAATACCACACTCCTTGGGTTGCTTTAGTTTAGTGATTCTCAACTAGAGAGGATTCCCTCCTCCCCACCCAAGGGAATAATAGGCAGTCTCTAAAGATATTTTTGATTGTCTCAACTGGGAGTTGCTAATGACATCTGCTGGGGAGAGGCTAGGTAAACTGCTAAACATCCTACAATCTGTAGGTCATCTCCCTACAACATAGAATTCTTTCACTCAAAATGTCAATAGTGCTGATGTTGAGAAACTCTGATTTTGTTTAACCACGTGATTATGTCCTTTAAGCTTTGATTGCTTAACATGTATCATTTAAAACTGGCTCACACCTCTGCTGCAGTATGCTTTTTTTTAAATGAGTCTTATCACAGTTGGTAAAAAAGAGGAGCTCAAGAAAAAGTAAAACCTTCCACTTTCCACAAGTGTTCTCATTCCTGTCAGTTAGGGATTTTCCTTGACCAAGAAAGATGCAACAAATTTCTATAATTTCTTCTGATGCAACTATCTGGAAATGGACACTGTCAGTTTTTACAATGTTATCAGATAAGAGGGCTTCCTCTATCAGATTTGTTTAGCTGCTCTGAGTAGGGCATTCTGGGCTTTAATTTTGTAAATCTCCTAGTGCTATGAATAGCAATTGTCCAACTCTGCTACTGTTTCACTTATTAAGCCTTTAAAATTGTGGCTTTATAGCAGTTGCCCATGGCCTCATCTTCTTTGGCCACATGGTAGGTATGACTCTCAAGAAAACAAAACTAAAAGCTTAATTTTGGAATAGGTAGAACGTTCTCCATGCTTTCCAGCCATGATATTGTAACTAGTTGAAAATCTCTTGGTGATTCTTGGTGATTTCATATTTCATGAATCTCTGTTCCTGGTAGTAATTTCCATGTTCTTTAGATTTCTCTGGATGCAAGGAATAGACTCACATGTGCTAACTCTGGCAATGAGGAACATCGCAGGCATATCCTAGAACAAAGACAGGACTGAAAGAGACAACTTGAATGTCACTGTGAATCTAAGACAGCCACAGCCACAGTGACCTCCATAGCCTGAGATTGTGAAACTTCACTGGACTACTCCACCAACAACACAGATTCAGCCTGGCTTATTATTGTGTATAGTCTCACTTCCCCTGTTAACTGGCTATG